TGAGCTACATGGCCAAGTCTGTTCGAGTTGATGATATTTTGCAACTAGTTCCAACGAGTCTAGTTCCTTCGATATCAGTGTACAGGGGTATTCAATGTTACGATAATTTTGTGTGTGTAAGTGTCATGTACTCATGCAGGTGAATATATGATGTTTGTGATGTTACTCTCACTGAGTGTGCATCCACACTGGGCAAGCTGAAAAGTTAGCTTGGCCACGGTCACAGGTTCGATTCCCACTGTGGCCAAGCTAACTTTTCAGCTTGCCCGGTGTGGGTGCACACTCACAGTGACATCACAAACATCATATATTCACCTGAGTACATAACATCAACACACACAAAATAAAAATTATTGATTGATTGACAATACATTTGCTATTTTAGGTTGTTTGCATATACAAAGCAAGAAATACAAAATTCAAATGCTTTTACTCATTTAATGTAAGCATGCAATTGAACTAACATCATCCAAATGAATACAACTTTTCTGGTAAAGGGTGTTTAAAATAGAGGTGCATAATTGACCCAAAATTCATTGTCCCAAAATCTTGCTGATGCCAAGCTAGGATTTTCCATATAAATTATATACAATCACCAACGATTTGGTACAGTATTACCCCTGGGCCCTGGGTAAAAAGATCTCTGTGATTGTTTTTGTCAGTTTATACATTTCGAGACTGTCTGCAAAAGTATGAGTGATTGATCACTTGTTGGTTCACTTAATTGGGAAATGTGCTTCTACTATATAACTCAGTCTGGGTGATTTGTTTTGGCAAGCCTGCCCATCTAAACAGGCTCATGTAACCAGACATTCATCCAGGGAAAGCGAGCTATAGGCAGGTTACCTGGGTAGCTCGCCTCTATATAAGCAGCCCCTTACATGTGTTTTAGGCTGACTGATAGCCGATAGGAGGGCTACCATAACAAGCACATGCCATACACTGGGTAACATTAGATGATTAGGTGGGCTATTGCAATGCTGTCAAATGTGACTGCATTTCAAACAGATCACATAGGCTATGTATTAAAGTATACATTATTATTTAACACGAAATACAACATACATGTATATTACACAAATAAAGCCCCGTTTACACGAGTAAATTTTATTTGACAAATTTCATATGTCAGAGATATTTTGCTCGTGTAGATGATAAATTTGTGACAAATGCATTTGAACAACAAATGCTTTTGATGAAATGAAATTTGTCAAATAAAATTTGCTCGTGTAAACGGGGCTAACAACACATATAAGTAAAGACTGTAGATTAGACTTATGGACTTCTGCTAATACAAATTAATCGAATATTTTTAACTGAACGTCTCAACGTCTACATCGGCAAATCGGCGGCGAAGCGACTAAAATACAGGCCTTCGTCTTCGATTTAAAAATATAACTATACAGTATATCAAGTAACTTTCCGCACACAAATAAGTAAATACGCAATAAACATACCTTTGAAAACAAATTCCATGTATCTTATTAGGTCTTTGGAACTTTATAAGTAGAAAATTTGAATAAATATCATTCACATTTGAATGTTTGCTCTCGAAGGATTGAACTTGGCGCTTGGTCTTTGTGTGAACCAGATCGAATTACTACAACACGTGATATATTCTAAGCATGCTAATTGGTTAAAACTCTGCAACTTCCACTTGTCGCAAATTATATTCAGCAGAATTCAGCAGCAGAACATTCCACACGTTCAAATTACAGATTTAGGCCAGCAAATAAAAAATATAGATGACTCGCCGACAATTTCTGGCTACATTCGATCGGCGCGTGCGATCAATCTGACTTGGCAACATTCGAGTAACCAAAAACGTAAAATTAAAAAAAACTTTATATCTCGAACTTCGCGCTTTTCGCATCTGACTGTATTCAATACTTTAAAGCTGGGTTACAGTCCATTCTGCGCATGTCTCAAATGTGTACACATTTTGTAAACATTGTCATAGAAAAATATTACGTAATGCTATAAACTGATAGCATTTTAGAGAAGATGGCTGACGCACAGGAGTGCCAAAATTCTAATTGTTTTTAACTCGCTTATATATTCACATCAAAGCAAGAAATACGATCAAAAAAGAAACTTTATATCTAAAAAGATGTATCTAAAGTGTGTTTTTACGAATATAAGTTATTCCGTTGTGCAATTGTTTCAAAATAAAAAAGAAACTAGCTAGTGTGTATGAAGCCGCTTATGTATCTTGCTCGGTGAAACTAAACGTGAAAGTATTTTGTGGTGTCGGATTGGCAAAATTAAATTATACAAAATAATATGAATTCCCCCCAGCCATTGGATAAGTAAGCTCTTGTTACAAATGGAAATGCATATCAAATATCAATTTCAACACGCTACAGCAAAGTTGACAATGGCGACTCGCGACCATCTACTTGAGAGTTTCAAATATTGGTCGGTGGAATACTCTGCTGATCGAGCTTGTATACGAAACATCAAGACAGATTTAACTGTTTATTGTGGTAAGTACATAACAGATACAGTATCCTTGGATATTTCAATTATATTAATATTGTTATATTTCGTCATTACAAAATTTTATTGTGCACTTATAGCGCTGTGGAAACCCAGACGGATCAGCAGACATATCATGCAGCCATGAGCTATGCCAGCTATGCAGAGAATGTTCAGCAAGTATATGTTCAGTAATCAGTATATGTTCAGCAAGTATATTTTCAGTATATATGTTCAGCAAGGGAAACAGTGATGGAATCATGTAAAGATTCTTACTCCTAAGCAGTACGAATACACATTATACAACTTCTTACAATGAAGGTATGTATAACATTTTATGCTTTCCTGAATCCTGGTGAGAAAAAATATGACTTTTGGGTTTTATTGTGAAATCCATTTTCTTATCACATTTTCAAACAAATCTTTTGATCATTCTGTAGGCATGTTAAGGGCACACAGTAGTACCTGCTGATTGATATGTTTAGAGCATTAATTAGAGCACTTAAACGCTTTTTTGGAAGCCAAATTTTGATTTGAATGAACATGCAGTTAAATAAAATCAACATTTGGCTTGATTAAGTGCTTTTAAAACACATTGCTCAGCAGGCACTAATGTGCATTTAAACAGGAATAAAATTAATTGTAAGTCTTCTTTAGGTATGGGGATTGGTATTGGAAGTGATGACCGAAGGCAACTGAAGTGCCCCTAACATAGCCCCTGTACCTCCTCCTTCAGTCAAAGAACTTGTTGAAACCCATTAGTCTTAAGATTCAAATGATCGCTGTAGACAAGTGTCTGGCACTTAAAACTGCTAAGTAGGTGGAGCTCATAATCCCTGAAAGACAGTCAACCTTGGAAAAGGAAAATTCTGATTATACAAACTCCTGGACCCAACTAGTGGGTCAGGCTGAAGTAAGGGGCAAGGAGTAATTTTAAAGAATAAAAATATCAACGTCAGTGCCAAATGTTGTGCTGGAACATCCAATGTATTTGATAACTTGTCTTTTATAAAATGAAATATTACTGTCCATAAAGATTTAACCAATTAACATGATAAAGGCTTTCATTTGTTAGCAGAATTTGCTGTGCTTAGTAGACAGAGAAAGCTTAAAATAAGTTTAAAGCAATGGGGCTATAAAGGCTAGTTCACACAAGAAATTTTGAACTGCAATTTTCTTCTTTTGTTGCATGTGTTTGAGTGAATATCACAACAAATATATGAGCTAAGCCATGCAAAGTTTAAAATCGCTTGTGTGAATGGGCCTTAACATGCATGCAGGTGTGAATTACCCAAGTTCTTTCAAAATATTTAAAATGATCCTCTCTGTCATGGGATCGAGATAATTGCAGTAAAATGGGTTAATGAAATAATAAAGTTTTCCTCAATGATCAATAACATAATAACAACATTTGCAACAAATATTTACAATCTAGCAGGTTGATACCCCGAGTATATCCCATTTGGAGAAGGATATTTTTTCCATATTGCTGTAACACAACAGCTTGGATTCCTTGGAATCATTCTCCTGTTCCCACTTCCTTATGTTTTCATGTTTCCAGAGTACATATTGTTTGTTCTGGGTTTTCCTCTGGGTCTGGTTGAAGCGGTGCACCTGGCAATTCATTATTTAACCAAATCAGCAAATGTAGCTGGCTGACACTGTATAGGACATTTAGGCTGACGCTCTTAGGGCATTTAAAATTAAATCCATTGCTTCCACAAGATTCTAAAATGTAAAGATATTTATCATTAATTAAATGCAAAGACACGCACAGTGAAACACTGATATTTTTACCACAAATTCCTCTATAGACTTGTATAGACGGGTAAACTCTTTTTACATAATTTGATATTTTATTTGGCAAGGATATGCATAATTATACAGAGTATGTAATAAAACAAATCGTATGTGTTAAAGCTTTCAAAAATGTACTGTCACTCAAATGTACACTGTATATGTCTGTGCATATTCTTGGCAGGCAAAGTATTAAACTATGTAAACAAAGTTTATTCATGTATTGTTAGATGATCATTATCCTTCGTTTAGAGTGAACAGTCACAATGAACAACATTACATATTCTCAAATGAACATTGCTCAGGCCATTTTTTGCCTAAACGAAACATGTATAAACTACAATGAGCGAAAATAATGAGATTATATGTACATGTGCGAATCACGTTTATAACGAACAGTATAACGAACAGTGTCAGTACATAATAGCAATAATACAAACTCACCGTCTGGTCACTGTCACGTTCTTGAACCCTTCGATTGTTCATACATCCTATTCGTGGCACGCGCTTGAGCAAAAACTACCCATACTTTTGCAGGCTCTCTATCGAAAACAGAAGCCGCGACATGAACAAATCGTCTCCACATATCTTCCAGCGAAAAGCTTAATTTATCCAAGTGCTTCGATCTGCCATGACAGCAACAATGACTCTGACAATGTGTTTCGACGAACAAATAACCCAAGGAAAGGTTCATGTTTACTTTGGCACTTCCAAAGTTTATTTTACAATGGGCTATTCCATTTAATATCCGTACCCCCCCTGTCGAGGATACATGTTTTTCATAGTTATACCCCTGAAGAATTCCAAGCTCAAAATCATTTACCCCTGAAGAATTCCAAGCTCAAAACACTCTACCCCTGAAGAATTCCAAACTCAAAACACTTTACCCCTGAAGAATTCCAAACTCTGAAAAATTTCGATCTCAAACCTCTTTACCCCTGAAGAATTCCAAGCTCGAATCCTTTACCCCTGAAGAATTCCAAACTCAAAACACTTTACCCCTGAAGAATTCCAAACTCAAAACACTTTACCCCTGAAGAATTCCAAACTCAAAACACTTTACCCCTGAAGAATTCCAAACTCTGAAAAATTTCAATCTCAAACCTCTTTACCCCTGAAGAATTCCAAGCTCGAATCCTTTACCCCTGAAGAATTCCAAACTCAAAACACTTTACCCCTGAAGAATTCCAAGCTCAAAGCACTTTACCCCTGAAGAATTCCAAGCTCAAAATCCTTTACCCCTGAAGAATTCCAAACTCAAAACACTTTACCCCTGAAGAATTCCAAACTCAAAACACTTTACCCCTGAAGAATTCCAAGCTCAAAATCCTTTACCCCTGAGGAATTCCAAACTCAAAACACTTTACCCCTGAAGAATTCCAAACTCAAAACACGTTACCCCTGAAGAATTCCAAACTCAAAACACTTTACCCCTGAAGAATTCCAAGCTCAAAACATCCTTTACCCCTGAAGAATTCCAAGCTCAAAACACTTTACCCCTGAAGAATTCCAAACTCAAAACACTTTACCCCTGAAGAATTCCAAACTCAAAACACGTTACCCCTGAAGAATTCCAAACTCAAAACACTTTACCCCTGAGGAATTCCAAACTCAAAACACGTTACCCCTGAAGAATTCCAAACTCAAAACACTTTACCCCTGAGGAATTCCAAACTCAAAATACGTTACCCTGAAGAATTCCAAACTCAAAACACTTTACCCCTGAAGAATTCCAAGCTCAAAATCCTTTACCCCTGAAGAATTCCAAACTCAAAACACTTTACCCCTGAAGAATTCCATATAATAATGATTTAATAACAGTGTATCCACAGAGTGGCTCTTCAACCATGGGCGTACGGGAATTGAAAAATTATGGGGGCGGAAAGAGATTTGCCCTATTTTTTTGGATTGTGTCCGAGTTGTCAAAAGAAAATTTTCGGAGAAACTTTCCAAAATTGTTGTCGACGGGGGGGGGGGATTGATTACGAAAAATTCCTATTACATAGCATATTTTCTACAAAATTGACAGAATTTCCCACAAAATACACAGAATTTGTCCCATTTATTTTTATAATAAGCCAATATTGCCCGACTGTTTGCCCAACAAACTGGGGGGCTTCCCCCCCGGTTAGCCCATGTCTTCAACTGCTATAGATTACAAAGTAAAGTTTATCTCTATGTTATCTAAAAAGTATAAGTTAAAATAATTATATTTATATTTACAGTTATTGTCTACTTATTATGGTTTATCTACTACATATTTGGATAATAAATATGTTCTTAGGCCTTTACAACAGGGCCGGATCCATGGTTTTAGCTGAGAGATGCATAATTCCTCATGTCTTTGCAAAATTTGGAAATCTAGAACCTCGGAAATGCGATTTCCTGCGTTCTGATCGAATTTTTTATATAAATTTCGAATAGAAATTGCCATATTTTCAGCAAAATACGGTGAAAATTTGGATTAAATTATGAAAAAAAAAAACCCAACATTTTTACAAAATGATGTTAAATTACTTTACATGAACTACAGTATACAGTAAAAAGTTCACAGAGAAATTCACAACATATATTTACAACGCACCATCCTCTCCACTGCTCCACTAACCAATCAAGAATAATGGAAAGTAGATCGAGGTACCGTATGATAAATTCAGTTTATACTGTGGAAAACACTTAAACACAATCATGCAGTGCGCCGCCTCTCCCACGTAAATGAATAAGAATAAAGAGTTACTTAAATAGCTAAATAAGCTTCATGTTTCCGGGAACGGCAATTCAAACGGCAGGTTTGAATTTTCTTGCCAAAATTTTTGTTGAACGTTTTCGTTTCATATTTTCTATCTTGTGTCGAAAGAATAATTATGTATTTCAGTTTTAAAACATCAAGCTAATTTGCTCTTTATTACCTGATATCGTAAAAATTTTCTTTGCCTGGCGTTTGCCGTTTGACGTATAACGCGAAGCATAAACTCTCTAATACTCCACACCAACAGGATCGTGAAGCTAAACGTTCAAAGTTAAGTATATTCGAACCACTGATCTGAAATAAGACTGGATAAAGCATCTGCTGCAGGGGCCGCGGAACCGGGGGGGCAATGGGGGCATGTGCCCCCCCACTTTTCTTAAAAGTGAAAAAAGTGCCCTTTTTCTGGGCTAAAATGCCCCATTTAAAAAACGAAAAAAGTATTTCTTGAATGAACGCCCTCTTTTTCTGGAAAGAAAATGCCCTTTTCGCAGTAGTAAAGACTCTGTAAAGGCCATTTCCGACGTTAGAGAGACTCCATATTTTCAAAAATTTTCGTTCGGCTCGTGAACGTCATAAAATCGTTTGATTCTGGTCATATACAAAAGTGCCCCTTTCGGTCAATGCCCCTCCACTTTCGAAATGCTTCCGCGGCCTCTGATCTGCTGTGCATAAGTGAACCCAATGGCGGCCATATTGGATGGCCCCACTGTTACTCTAATCTGGTACGTGTTGTGAACATGTTTAACACTTCCTTTACGTTTCTAGTCACTAGTGGGAAAGGAAAAATATTGCCTAGATAAGAATTTATCATCAGTGGCCTCTTTTTCCCCCTAAATTTGCCGGTGAATAACTAATGGGGCCATCAAATACGGCCGCCATCAGCCTCGTTAGGTGGTGTATAAAACTCGTTCTAAAACTACTTCGAAGAGGTTTTGGAAGCTATATTTCACAAGTCACATAGGCGATGATATTTGCTTTATAGTCTAACTGAACTTAAACAGCAAACGATTAGACTGGTCATGAATTTGATTTATAAATCTCATCTCATTAAAATATTCTGGTTTCAAAATCGGATTTCTGAATTCAATAGGATGCTTATCCAGTCTTATTTCAGATCAGTGATTCGAACAGAAGCAGAGATGTCGAGATCACCAATTTAAATGTTCAAAGTTAAGTATATTCAAACAGCAGCAGAGATATCGAGAATATCAAATAACAATGTTCAGAGTAAAGTATCTTTCAAAGGTAGCACGACAACAGCATCATAGAATAACAATGTTCAAAGTAACGTATCTTTCAAAGGCAACATGATGACAGAATCATCGAGTAGCAATGTTCAAAGTAACGTATCTTTCAAAGGCAACATGATGACAGAATTATCGAGTAGCAATGTTCAAAGTAACGTATCTTTCAAAGGCAACACGATGACAGGATCATCGAGTAGCAATGTTCAAAGTAACATATCTTTCAAAGCCAACATGATGACATAACCATCGAGTAGCAATGTTCAAAGTGACGTATCTTTCAAAGGCAACATGATGACAGAATTACCGACTGGAAATGTTTAAAGTAACGTGTCTTTCAAAGGCAACATGACAGGATCATCGAGTAGCAATGTTTAAAGTAACGTATCTTTCAAAGGCAACATGACAGGATCATCGAGTAGCAATGTTCAAAGTAACGTACTTTTCAAAGGCAACATGACAGGATCATCGAGTAGCAATGTTCAAAGTAACGTATCTTTCAAAGGCAACATGATGACAGAATCATCGAGTAGCAATGTTCAAAGTAACGTATCTTTCAAAGGCAACATGATGACAGAATTATCGAGTAGCAATGTTTAAAGTAACGTATCTTTCAAAGGCAACATGATGACAGGATCATCGAGTAGCAATGTTCAAAGTAACGTATCTTTCAAAGGCAACATGATGACAGAATCATCGAGTAGCAATGTTTAAAGTAACGTATCTTTCAAAGGCAACATGACAGGATCATCGAGTAGCAATGTTCAAAGTAACGTATCTTTCAAAGCCAACGTGATGACAGGATCATCGAATAGCAATGTTCAAAGTAAAGTATCATTCAAAGGCAACATGATGAGAGAATCATCGAGTAGCAATGTTCAAAGTAACGTATCTTTCAAAGGCAACACGATGACAGGATCATCGAGTAGCAATGTTTAAAGTAAAGTATCTTTCAAAGGCAACATTATGACAGGATCATCGAGTAGCAATGTTCAAAGTAACGTATCTTTCAAAGCCAACGTGATGACAGGATCATCGAATAGCAATGTTCAAAGTAAAGTATCATTCAAAGGCAACATGATGAGAGAATCATCGAGTAGCAATGTTGAAAGTAACGTATCTTTCAAAGGCAACATGATGACAGGATCATCGAATAACAATGTTCAAAGTAAAGTATCTTTCATTCGTGCTTTAAATTGTTATTTAACAATTATTCGCCAAAGGCGAAGACAAGGTGAATATCGAGGAATATTCGCCGAGACGAATTCAAGCTGAATATTCTTCAGTAATCACCAAGCCTGAGGCGAATAATTGTTTTAGTATTTTTACACAAGTCTTTTGTTTTTTGATACTGAATTTATTTTAATATTGCTTAATACTTCTTCTAATTTTAGTATTGCTAAATCCACAAAATATTAGCCGCCATTTTGAAAATTTCGTTTTGTTATATTTATCTGTAGGTGAACATATATACAGATTGATACGTCAAATTTGACCAGTCAACTTGCAGGATTTGATATATTCACTTGTGCAAAAATACTAAATACTTTTATTAGACAATGTCTATTTGCCTGTATCAATGATGACGAAATGTGACAAATTGACACATATTTTACTTTTTACACGAACAAATAAAAATTGTCAAAATAAAGATTGCCAAATTAGACAATTATAAACTGCTCGTGTCATATTACGTTAATTAAGAGTGAAGCTTTGAGGGGCATGTATATATATATGGCAAAATCTTTCTGCTTGCGCTGGGTATGGAAATTATATAATACACACTCATCATATGGAAATTATATAATACACAGAACATTTTCATCTTAATATATATATATATATATATATATATATATAGCTTAAGATTTTGGTTTACGAAACACAAACAGTGCTCAATACCATATAGATAGAGCGTAATATAGTTTTTCGTTTTACCTCAAAAAACCACAACAG